CGCCCCGCACTCACTGCTCGGGGGCTGCTTTCGCCTCAGCGTCGAGCTTCGCGCCGCCAGGAGAGAGCGGCCCGGCGTCGGCGGCTCGTTCCCACAACGCCTGGCGGGGCACGCGGCGCCTGCTGGGAGCCGTAGTCCTGTCGGCGCACTGCGTTCGCCGAGGGGGAGGGCGGAGCTGCCGGCGGCCCGGGCGGGCTGGCAGCTAGAGTGGGTGCGATTACCGCCTCCGCCTCTGCCGCCTCCGCCGTCGCCTCCTCCGCCCGGGCCGTTCGCTGCTGCGCGGGGAGAGCGAGGCGGGGCCGCCGGGGCCGCCATGGAGCCCGACTCGGTGATTGAGGACAAGACCATCGAGCTCATGGTGAGTGCGGCCCGCGGGACCGTCTGTTCTTCCGTCCGTCCGGCCCCGGGCGGGCCTGCCCACCTCCGGGTCCGGCGCGAGGCCGGCCCTGGCCCTTCCCCGCCGTCTCGGCCCCGACCTGGGCCCTCTGCCTTCCCTGGCCTCGGGCCGGGAGCGGTTCCTCCGGATCCCTCGCGATCCCAGGCCGGCCCTGGTCCGGCCCCCTCCATGCCCCTCGGTTCTCCCCCTGTCCTGTCCCCGGGCCCATCTCTCGAACGACCCTCGCTCGCTTATGCTGTGGCCTTAGCTCCCACTCGCTCTAGCATCCCATGCTCCCGTTCTTAGGGGGGGATTCGTGATGATGATGTTTTTTCTTCCTCTATTTCTCCGGCCCAGGCCTGCACCGCTCTTGAAAGCCCCACTCAGGCCGAATGAGGTGGTGGGAGGGGATACGGAGGCGATCGGTCAGGGCCTTGGCCTCCGCACCTAGTAGGGGTCTCCGCACCCTCTCCCCAGCCTAGGGCTGCGTGGATGCCGGGAAAGGCCCTACGGGGGTGGAATTTGAGGTGGTGGGGTTGAGGTGGTGACGGATAAGGGGTCTCTTTCCCGGGCCCCTTTGATGTCCGGCTTCTCGGACAAAGGGTTTCCTACTGGGCCGAGAGGGGTGTTTGCATAGCAAGGCCCCAGGTACTCCGGATCCCACCTCCCGGGAAAGGGAGACCGTAACTTCATGTTTTCGAGAGCTGCTTTGGGAAATTGGGGAAGGGAGGGGGGAGGGTTGCCCTCATCACTTTCGCCAGTTCTTTATTCTCAAAAGAAGGTGTGTGTTGGGGGGAGACTCCTAGGCCTCTGGGGTAGCGCTCCGATCCCTCTTCTGTTAGGAACCATTGGTAGCCAGACCAGACTTCCTGGCCCCGCGGACACCCCAATCAATCCCCTTCCCCCTTGCCCATTAGGACTTGAGCCAGAAGGAGTTTTTAGAAACAGGACCACGAGAGAGTGGCTAGTAGAAGCGAAGAGTTGGCTACTTGGTGGATGATGCAGTGGAAGAAATAAAACATGGCAGCTATTACCTGCCAGTGTGAACATTAGAGAAATCAAACTGGGCTGTGGAGAGTTGGGAGGAGGAAGTCTTTGCTTCAGCAAATGGACAAGCCCAGGGTTTCTTCCTGTGGAAACCTTGACAGTTACTTTGTATCTCTCCTAACACAGTAACAATTTCTACCCCACGGTTGAGAGGAAAGGTGAAAGAATCTACTTAACCCAGCAAAAGGTTTTCCTAGCCAGATTTTCTCCAGTGTGAAAATGTTTATTGAGTCAGTAATTCCACTGGGTAGGGTCGGTGACATCAGAGCCACTTCCCCCATTTAATGCTATAAATAATAAATGGTGACACTGAAAGTCTGTTGGATAGCTGCATGGTTTCTGTGGATGATGGTACTTGGGGAGTTGAGATGCATGTTTTAAAAATGGAAGTACAGTAGCATGAACACGGAGGCAGCTTAATATTTGCTGTCCTTTGCATAATTCACAGAACTAGAATTCTCCAGCATTCTTGAAAACTTAAACAAAACAAAAAAAACCCTCTAGTAGTTTCTGGGGTGTGTGTGTGTGTGTGTGTGTGTGTGTGTGTGTGTGTGTGTGTGTGTGTGTGTGTGTGTGTGTGCTTGGTTGCTTTCTAAGGGATACTGTCACTTGGGGGTTTTTATTTGATTTTCATTTGTTAAGCAATTTGTTTTTTTTCAGTATAATTTATCAAACTATTGTAGTCAAGTCTTTGATATTCTGCAACTTTTGTAGTGGATTATTTTGGTAAAATACCTTAATTAGAACTACAAATATAGTACATATTCTTATGGATGTACATACATGTACTTAACAGAGGAGTACTTCATATAGGAAAATTGTATCAAGATACCTCTTTGAAATTGGCTGTCCTGTGCTCCTTTCATTTCTATTCATTTAAAAAGTAACTAAAATGTTTTTATTTTCAAAAGAGTTAGAAGAAATACAGTGTAACTATTTAGTGTCTTTGGGTGAATTGCAAAACAAAAAATCTTCAGCCTAAATTTACTGGTTTCCTATGCTATGCTTATAATCTAAAAAAGTTTTGATTTTTACATGCTTGTGCTTGTCTGTGATCTGAAAAGATATGTCAGCCTTTAAAGGACATTATAAACTGGGATTCTTAGGAAATTTATAAAGAGTTTAATAGTTATCTAGATCAATTTTAAAATGGCTTTTTATATATGGATTTTGATACTCCCTCAGAGGGATAACAGTTAAGACTCTTAGGCAACCCTTTTGATAAACATATATGTATTTATTTGAGTGTAGTAGATAGCACAGGTACTTAACTGATTTAGTAAATCCAGGAGCAGATGTAGGAACGATAATGCCTTAAAATCTAATTGCATGTGGCTTTCTGTATTAGCTGCATTTTAATCACAGTTTCCAGAAGTAGGTTAAAAATATTTTTTACATTGGTTTAAAAATAACATGATTGAAGGAGGGGAAGGGGTTAAACTAATGGTATTTTGAAAGCCTAAAGCATGAAATATTTTTAGATTTTTATGAGTCAGCTTCAATACTCAAATATTTGTGATTGTGCTGCCTGTACCAGTTTGGTACTTAATGGTTAACAGAATAACTTCCATTTGATAATTTCAGAGTGTGCTATATTAAAGAGAGGATACAGACTTCATGGGTATCTCTGATTTCTTAATCGTCATTCCTCTACTTTGATTTTAATTCTTTCTCCTTTTTCCCCTTGCACTTCTTTACTAGGAAATAAAGCTGCTGATAGCAGACTAATTAAAATCTCCCAAATATAACCACTTTGTTACTCCTCCCCCTGCCTGAGGCTGGGTCCACAAAGAATGCTTTTCCAACAGACGTAGCTCATTGGGTTCAGTCTATAATATAGACTATACACTCATGATTGAGACAACTAGCTGCATTTACCATTGCTGATGGTGAATAATTTAACCACCAAATGATTTTCATGGCCTTATGTTGGCCCAATACTGTACATAGCGTGAGGGACTGGACTGTCTTTCAAACTTCTGGCTTCAGTAACATCAGCTTTTGTTATTGTTAATGAGGTAGAAAAGTAGTAATCCATTTGGAAATATACAAAGTTGACCAGGCTATGTCTAGTGCAGTGGACTTCACTGAAGAATGAAAACTGCATTATGTATCACATGATATTTATTAATGCTTGTGTTAGGAATACGAGTTCATGTTTAAGGCACTCATTGCTAGAAAGCACTCACAGTGCTGCTAACCAACTGGAAGAGAAAGATGGTTAATCTTCTATTAGAAGAGAGCAGAAGCTGATGTTAGAAGTTTTGGAGGGGGCATCCTCCCTTCTCTTTGGGTGTGAATGCACCCCCCCCACCCCCGCCTGTACTCAATTAATTGGTAGTTTGTATTCTATTGTTAGCTGTTGAATGGTTTCCCCTCTTTTGCTAAGTGACCCTAAGTGAGCCATTTCCCTTCTGTGTTATTTCTAAGTAGCTAATTGTTATAATATAGGTAAAATACATTGGACCTTATTAAGAAGGTGTGATATCAATGCTATTTTCAGAGCTATTCAAGTACAGGCAGGCCCCAGGGCCATGCAGATGCAAGAAACTTAAGTGAAGTTATTGGAAAAATTTCACTTTTTCCCCCCCCTTTTGGATTCCCCCCCTCTCCCCACCATTGGCTTTCTAAGGGGAATATTTCATGACTTCTTTAAGAAATTGTATCTTTGTCACTATCATTTATCCTCATCTAAGTCTAACCTTGTGCTGATTTACCAAATGCAGATTATATAGACAAAGTAGGGTCCAAATGAAACAAACAACTGTTTATAGACCTCATTGACCTGCCTCAAGAAGCTGTGGCTCAAATATATCAATTTTTGCCCCTGATTTTGGAGTAGGTTAGATATCCCTTCAGATTTGACTAGGAGAAACCTGATGCTGCACACAAGCCTTGGCGCTCTTGGGCCCTGACTGCTGACCTTGAAAATTGAGCCAGCTAGCACAGGAGAATCAGTAGCCCATTACATAGGCTCACAGGGCAGCGCATAGATCCCTCTGAGTCGCACTGTGTGATCCTGTCAATTCTAGAAACAAACTTCTCTGCACTGTGAGGTGCCTGGGATCCTGAGTTCCACACTTTAAGGGAAAGAAAGCATTTCAAGTCGCAATAATTCCAATTCCAGCCTCCCTTCTGGCTTTCCTTCCCACATTCCTCACTCATTTTATGTTCCAGCCAAAGTGCGGAGGACCGTGGTTCTTCTGATTCTGCTCACACTGTTTCTTCTGTCAGCACCGATTCGAACTGACCTAAGCCTATGTATTTAAGGCTACTGATATTTATGGGCAGGATCTAATAGTTGGCTCTCTGGCCAAACTGGCTTAGGTCAGATCTCAGCAATCCTCTCTGCCAAAATCCTATCCCCTCAAAACAATGTAGACGCTACCCCATGATGTCAGTTTATATTATGGTGGCAGATACCATTTTGTTTTTATATCTAGCACTGCCTACATGATAATCATTTGTTAAAGTGAATGAATGAATTCTTGTAGTTTGTATTTATCTTGTGGGGCTTAACATAGTCCAGGCTTGTATTATACGTAATTTCCTGTTTGTGTCCCCTATTGAAAGATAAACTCACAGTGCCTTCTTTTAAAAGGTATTCCGTAGATGTTGAGCTTGTTGGTTGATTGTTTACATGCATTATTGCTGTCTGCCTGTATCTTGACCATCCTCTTTTCTGGAATTTCTAACCTATATCACTAATTCTCCATCCTCTTTTCTGGAATTTCTAACCTATATCACTAATTCTCATAATAATCTGTTCCTGTTATGGGACGTACCATACCGTCCTAGGTTATCATAAAAGCCCCCGATCGAGACCGAGCTTCCCTTCCAGAAGCTGTAGCTGAGTGTCCTTTGATTCCTTCGTAATGCTTAGCACTTGGGTGCCCAATAGATATTTATTGATTTAAATTAATGTTAGGTATTTTTTTCTTGTGAAACCTTTTTAAGGTTCCTTTTGATAACTTTAAGACAAGGGTGGAGATGATTAAAGAGGAGAAAGACTGGTAAGGGGTAAGAGGCCTGTGGTATGTGGCACACAGACATCCGTAGACGTTTTACTTAGACTTTCACACACATACAAGTTGATTTCTATACGTCCCAGACAGAGGTTGATAGCCACGTATGGAGGAAACCTAGATTCCTTTATACCTGTCAGTTCACCTGCCAAACACTCTCTAAGTTCTAAGGTTCTGGGCAGAAAGGGCACGAGCTTTCGAGTGAAACCCCTGAGTGTGTATCCTCACTCTGTCACTCACTAGCTGTGTGACCTTAAGAAAGTTAGCCTTTCTGTGTAATTTTATTTTCTATAAAAATAAGCAAATGTAGTTATTGCTCCGAATTGTTGGGAGGATTATACAAGAGATGTATGTGAGGCTTGGTGCTTTCCCCACAAGCACAGGGACTGTGTTTTGTAAAGCACAATCAAGACACATGGTGTAAAGAGGTTTTAATTCCCCCCCACACTTGTGCATGTATTTATTTGTGAAGCTTTACAGAGGCCTAAGGTTCAGTTGCTTTTAGCCATACATTCAATGAAGCATCTTTGGGGGAAATGATGAAATCGTACCGAATCAGTACTCTCTTGGAAATCTGGGAAGTGCTGTTACAGTTACTAAGAACTCCTAATCAGACAGAGTTAGCCTGCACTCTGACTACAGAGAGCACCCCCAGCCCTGTTTTATTTGTGCCGGCAGAAAGTGAGGGGATGAGTCATTAACATTGTGCTTGTGATGTATGCTTGGTTGGTTTAGGTTAGGTGAGAAATTAGGATTTTTGAGTTCTTGTTTTGGCAAATCTTGGTGATTTTGACCTTTAACAGAATAAGCAGTGAGTATGGTACAAGATTTCCTCCTGGGTTGTATTTGAGTTGTTCATTGAATTAGTTGAAAAAGGGGAGAAACCTGTTGGTCAAGAATGTGCTTGTTACCCTCAGTTAAGTTTCTGCTGATGACAATTGCCTAACAGGAAGTTTGTCTTTGTAGGCAAATGAGATAAACCAGGAAGACCTGACAGGCGAGTAGGGTATCTCTAACCTGGATCTTATTATTGTTTTAACAAAATTCAAAGATGGCAGTGTTCTGTGATGTAAGCAGGAAGCAATTTTAGGAAATTCCCTCTCCAGGTTAGTCAACAATGAAGACCTTCACAGAATGGAAAGCCATGAAAAACAGTGGGACATTACCATGTAAAAGGAGAAAGAAAAAGTCTCTTTGTGAGTAGAGAGCAAATATAATGTATGTGCAGCTATAAGTATAATGCATATAGGAAACCAATCCCTGACAGCAAGCTTCTGATCCACAGAAGAAAAAGAAAAATGAAGTGAGAGCTCTACTACTGAGAAAAAAAGGAATTTCAATAGTTCCTTTTATTTATATTTTTTAAGAGTTAATTGAGAACACTTATGAGAACTAATAATAACATAATATATTTGGTTCTGTGCAATGTTTGCTTGGGAGACTCAAAGAGAAAGGGGCAGAAGACAGGAAGACCTCTGCCTTTACACTCCTGGCCTGGCATCTATTAATCTTTATCTCTCTGGCTTACAGCGGGCGTTCAGCAAGTGTTAATTTGAAGGGAAGAGGGAAAATTAACTCACTGTTACATGGAAAAGGTTCAGAAATGAGTTCGTTAGTCAAATTGTTGTGGTTCTGTTTTGCTATACGTGTTCAGCATTTTGGTCATAGCAATAAGTTATACTTTGAAAAACAAGAGTATATTGCTTTGGCACTTAGCTGCTAGCCATAGCTTACTATAGCCGCTTTGATCAAAACTGGGTTTCTAATTTATTTTTAGGCTCCAGAGTAATATCACTTAATGGGAAAAACTTGAGCACTCATTCTTTGCTTGAGATTTTTACCTACGTGATCTCTTTTATGTTGTGGGGATTAAGATACTTGCATCTGATTGTTAATGGTAAAGTTAATCATAGACTGGTATTTTAATCACTTCAGTTGCTTTGTCTACAACCTGAAAAATCAGAACATCTTTTGTCATTGTCTATGGACTATTAACAAATCTTGGAATTTAAAAATTCCTCAGTTTCAACTAGATTTGAGATCCTTCCTCACAGACATAATCTTGTGTTTGTCTTATAAACACAAGACTACTTGGGCAACATTATACTGTGTTTTGTTTTAATTTTAATATCATAGGCCTTAAAATTACATGGCTCTTTGTTAATGAAATGCTTTTTTTAAGTGGCAAGGTCTAGGGAGTTAGCTGTTTCAGGATGGCTCATCCAATTCAGTTGTATTTTAGTTCAGCCAGGTTGAAATATTTATTCTTCTGTAATTTTTTTAGTTCTCTATTCTGATGTTAATTAACTTAGGACCTTTGAGAGTAAAGCTTGGTTTCTTTTTTCTAATCCTTGGACTTGGGTGCAGCCATATTCAATGAAAAGGTCATGGGCTGTACCGCCTGGTAGATGTGGGACTTGTGGGCAAATTATTTCTTCTCACTTTTTTTGAGAATTAAATATGAGTAATGAATGTATAGGGGACTGGCCCATTGGTAGCCCTTCAGTCAGGGTAGGGTAGGTATTTCAATTAATGCAAGACATTTGGCAATAGCGTGGCAGTTGAGGAAGTAGAAAACTTATATGCAAGTTAAGTTCATAGTCTTTTGATTTTTTAAGTTTTCATCTGTGTCATCCTGTTGAATGCCTTTTTCTCTCCCCTTTATAGTTTGTTTAGAATTTGCAGTGTAATGGAAAAGTTGGTATGGTAGTCAAAGAATGTTGATATAATGTGCGCTGGGTTTATGTTTTTAAAGGTGTCATCTAATAAATTGTTTATTAGCTTCTTTATTATTTTCTCTAGTTCACCCAATGACTGGCCATTGTGTGAATTGGCCTTTACTGAATCAAAAGTTCACTCTTAAAATGATGTCATTTGTTTTAAAATGTCCTGTGTTTCACCTGCGGGTTGAAGATTTGGGTAATGTGTAGATTTGATGTCTTACATGTAGCAAACCAAAAGATTTCTTGTTAGGTGCTTAAATAAATATCTTTCTTGGGCAGTATTTGAGCCCTCCCAAACCATTCATTTTGGCTGACAAACTTTTGATAATGGTGGAGGAGCTTAGAAAACACATAAGGAGGTGCATTGTAGCCAAATGGTCTGGGACAATTTATGTGGCTAATAGTGGCAGCTTTTAGCTTGTCTCATTTGGAACTTGCATGATATTTATCATGAGTAAATATTAAAATTAGGGATGCAAGCCTTTGCCATGTAGAGTTTCTTATTCTCTCAACACTTTGGTGAGGAATGCCTCTGCAGACCTTTTATCCAAATAGCTTGCGCAGGGGTCGTAACTTTTCTGTGCCTCAGATCCACCATTCCATTGACCCTTCCTTCCATTTCTTGGTGGCTGTCCTTTGCCGCTGGTGCCATGGTGGGTGTATGGATTGCTTTCTGTCTTTCAACAGTTACCGAAGTGCATGTTTGGGATTTTGTTGAAGAAAGCTGGCTACAGTAAACGGAAAGCATCTTGGAAGCTGCTTGACTGCTGTCTTTTGTCAGACTAGTCTGAAAGGGAATCCCCCCTTCATTCTGGATTGGTGGCTCTGAAGTACAAAATATTTCCCAGGTAAGCAATTACCCTGCATTGTTTTGTTTTTGTGGAACTCAACTCACTGAAAGAAACTGAAAAACAAAACTTCTGTACTTTTCTCCATGGATAGGGGAAGGAAGAAATGTTAGATATTTGTGCTTAGTGTTCATGTTTGGATGTGGACCAGTGAAGGTACATGTGGCAGAAGTGCCAGTAAAAACTTTCAGTGTAAAAAGTGCAGTTATTTCTATTATAGGCTGAGGTGGTTTATGGTAATAGTCCAGCAGGGAGTTTTGTTTGGGGAACAGCTCGTAAAATATAGAAAACAAACGGTAATTTTAAGGCATTCATCTCATGATTTATAGCTAATACCTGGTCAAAATAATTTTTGTAGTTTACATGTAAAGTAGTGGTCTTTTAGTCTCAGGACTCGCGGAGGGCCTTCTCGGGAAGACTTATTAATGTAGCAGCTGCTAAGTGCCAGGTGCTGCTGTAGGCTCTTTTCATACATTTCTTATTCACCTGGCACATCCTGTACCTGTATTTTACAGAGTGAACTGAAACTCATAAGCATTAAGTAAATGCGAGTTGCCCGGGGTCATACAGCTAGTAAATGGCAGAGCCAGGCTTTGAGCCCAGGCCTGTGTGTCTCCAAAGCTCTGCCTCTTTCCGTGTGACTACAGCTGAAGTTTGTGCTTCATCGTCTGGGTTTTTAAATTGCCTGTCTGGACGAGCAAGGTGTGGTGTTGTACAGCAGGTTTCCGCTCGGAGAACACATGGTGGTGGATCGTTGCTTGCTGTGGTATTTTAATTATATCTGGTGCTCTCCCTGCTTACTGAAAATACTAGAAGAGCTTCAGTCAGCTCATCAAAGCAAACATAGAGGTCACTTAGGGAGTCTGAGAGGTAGTGCATTTAAATGTCAAAACGTGTTTCATACAGGGAAGTATCATTTGGTCTAGTGAACTCAAACTTGTAATTTTTCAGTTCCTCCTTAGTTTTTATTGGTTAAGTAGCTCAGGAGCTTATTATGTAGACTTCTTTTGAGCAGTGGTTTATTAGTCCTATAAGTAAGACATTGTCGGGAAGTTTTCTTGAAAACATGACTTTATTTGGTATTTAATATTCTCCCGATTACCCATTCCTTTTATCTTAAAAAAAATGTCCTTTTGTCGTAGACACTCTGACTTTGTGATCCTTCTTTTAGTTTAATTCCTTTGTATTTGCTAATAATTCTCTTGGGTGAGCGTTTTTCACACTTGTCATCTAAAGAGCTTCCAGGATGGCGGTGGTAGAAATAATAGCAGTTAACACTTCCCGGGCGCTTACTTTGTATTGAGCACAATTCTAAGGACTTGATATGTCTAGACTCGTTTTATTATCATCATAACCCAGTGAGACAGGTACTGACATGTTCAAGGTCACACATCTGGTAAGAGACAAAGATGAGGTACTAATCCAGGCAGCCTGGCTTCCGAGAGTGTGCTTATAACCTCTGCCCTCTATATACCGCCTCTAGTTTAGAGCATCATCCAGTGATCAAGAGGGGCAGAGATCCTGAAGGCTGAACTGGATATTCTGATCGGAAGAAATCACTGCAAAAGGAAAGGAAACAGTTGTTGAGTATTTCTTACCCCCTATAGAAAGCAGTCTAGCTTTCAGATTCGGTTCGCCGTTCAGGACTAGCCCACGTCGTTTCCCAAGAGGACTCCTAATAGGGTTAGTCTGAGGTGGTCTCCCAGAGCGGTGCTATCCAATAGAACTTCCTGTGACAGCGAGAACGTTCAGTGCCTGTGCTGTCCCACATGGGTGATTTGGGAATGTGTTTCTGTAACTGAGGAGCCAGATTTTTCGTTTTACTTAGTCCTAATTTACACTTAAATAGCCACATGTGCAGTTTTAGCATTTGCCTCCATCCTGTGTCTGGTCCTTGGTGTGACACCCTTAGAGATCTGACGTGGACAGCATGCTCAAAGCAGCTCTGATCCCAGGGTTGGACTTACATTCACCAGTTGTGCACGACTGATGTGTAAAGCCAGAATTCCGGTTTATAGTAATTTATAATGGCGTGTGCGTATTGGCGTGATTAATGTAAACCTTTCTGACATAAGTAGATTTGCTTACCTGGTCTTAGTTAATATGCTGGTTTAATTTGAAGTAAGAAACAAGAGTTAGAGGGACCTGAAGACTCAAGCCGGATGACTGGGACATTCATGTTAGTAGGCATTACCTACCCGGTCAGATGGTAGTCAGGTAGCTTAGTTAGCATGGGCTCAACTTGGGGAGAGACACTTGCTGGACTGGGACTCACACAGCCTTATTCAGCCTACTTTAGGGGTGGGTGCTTTTCCCTAGTTCAGATCCTCTTCTTTGAGCTTCGGTGCTTGCTTTTACCTCCCAAATCCTTTTCTAGCTAAGGCATTTGTTCTTTCTTAGACACATTAGTACATTCAGCCTCAATGTCCTCTAGACTTATAGGTCTGGGAAGCCCTTTGTTTTCCTGAAGATGCCTTTATCACTGCTGTGATCCATTTTGTGTTCATTTTTGACTCTGAAGAAGGCAGTTGACTTTTCCTTGCTTCCCTGTGGCCTATTTCTATTGAAACACATGTATTAGCGTATTTAACTTGGTCATGTAGTGTGGGGTAGAGGAGGAACATTCTCATAAACAATATACCTGGTGGTGCATTCTCTTTGCATTACATCATGTTATTAAATGAGCTTGTTTTTACCATCTTGTATCATTACTTGGGGACTTGTTCTTGTCCTGTTCTTAAAGTAGAAAGAGGAACAAAGCTAACTTTGTATTTAGCTGTTAATTTTTCAGGTGTGTGCGAGATGGATTGAGGCGACTAAGGCAGGGAGAGAGCAGTTAGTTCAAGTGATCAACGATGAAGGTGAACCAAAGCATTCACAGTGGGCAGGCAAGACAGGGGCGGGGCGGACTTCAAGAGATGAAGGTGGGAGGATCTACAGAACTTAGGAATTGGTTCTAGAAGTGGGACATAGATGGAATGCAGTATGAATTTTAGATTTTTGCCTTGGGCAGCAGGATGGATGTTTTTCTCTTTTCCAAGGTAGGGACTACTAGAAGAAGAGCAGATTTTGGAGAGGTGTTGGCGGAGAAAGAATGAGTTCAGTTTGTAGTGAATTTGAGTTGCCAGTGGATGAATCCCGTGAGAAGTAGCTAGTAGGAATATTAACCTGGAACTCGACAGAGAGATCATGGACAGAAAGGTTTGGGAGTTTTTATTTAGCCTCAGTGGTAGCTAACTTTTCTTAGAGGGTTATAAGATTCCTCAGAGTACAGATTGAGGAACCTATATATCGATGTATGGGAATGCCAACATAGAGGAATGGGTTGGCTACAGCTGAGCTCATGTCACCTTATGAGATCACATGTGATGCTGGTTAAGAGGTGTTACCCCCACTTGATTTCATCTTGACCTGGGAATTCTGTCCAACTCTTTTTTTGTCAGCAGATTAACATATTATGCTTGGGTTGTGATTTTCTGTTCCATTGTAATGGTTTGTTCAATGAATAGAGGCACAGTATTTTGAAATGTATTTTAAAAAACCCCATGTTGTCGCTGTACATCTTATGTACATTTATGCAAATCCTATTCTATGCATCTGGTGACAAAAGCAAGGGAAAATAACTTAAACGTGAAGGTTCTGGATCAGTGTGAGATGGAAATGGGAATCTGCACTCTCTCAGCCTGTCTGAATTCCTAAATCCTTCTCATCTAGTGGCGACTGTTGTGAGGATGGCTTTTTAAAGACACACGTTTTTAGCATCACAACGTGAGGCCTCAGTATAAGCCAGCTATTTTACCCACTAGTCAGTTGAAGAAACAGTGAACTGTTCATGTGCTGGAGTGAAAATGAGCTGTGCTGGAATTATTGAGATGTTGTGTCGGTCCAGTGTGGCATATATTTCAGGGATTTTTAAAGCAAATTTTTACTATGTGCTATTTGCACTGTACGCACTCACTTCAGACCCTGATTCCCAGGTGAGCTGTAACTCCACTGTAATTAGGTTTCAGTAATGAAAGCATGGAGGTGTGAAGAGTTCATTACAGCTACAGTCAGTTGATACTTAACAAAACAATTTTTTGAATACATTATGTCTCTGGTTCAAAATTCATAAGGTACAAAAAGGAGCACATGGGAAAAAAGTCTCCCATTCCCTGTAGCTCCAGCTACTGAACCACATTCTTGTGTAGCCTTCATATGTGTGTGTGTGTGTGTCTGTGTTTGTGTGCATGTGCGCCGTACACATCATTCTGCACCTTGATGTTTTTGGTTTTTCTTAAGATTTTTATTGGGGAATTGGG